CATGACAATTTGTTTCAAAATCTGGTCAAGGATGGCCGATTGACAGCCATCTGACTTTTTGGTCTTACTACTATATTTCCACAATTTATGTACCATTTTCATTCGTATTTGGCACCCCATACATATCAGTGTGTTTCATAATCAGATCAAAGATGGCCGAATAACGGCTGTTTTTATTTTGGCCATATTACTATGACACGAAACAGGTGTTTTGATGTAAATAAACAATCTGTTGTATACGCCACTTGGAACTCAAGTTTCAAGGACACACTCGCGACAACCCCTCCGCTTTAATATGACGAGCGCAAAGAGAACTTAACGGGGACTGTGTCATTTTCAATGACTTGTTGAAATGTGCATTGCTAACAGCGGAGCTATCTCAGCCGATAGGCTGCTTGTCTTATATTTTACATTCAACCCATCAAAAATCATCGAAATTAATTCCAACTATTAAAAATAAAATAATACACAGTATATGATTACAACATGTCATACATGGCATAATTTCCTTTTTCAAAAAATAAGTGATTTGTGGCAGTCATGTGTGATTTCCATCTGAAAGTACTTGTATACATGTACCACTGAAATAGGAAATGTTCTATGGTGTCTTAGACATAAACCAGTCGTAGTACCTTTCACAATGTGAGTGTTTGTTTGGAATCAGATGCATTCATATGGCTTTACTCTGGTGTAAATTGTAGGAAGTATTATGCCAAAGAGGATTTGAGGTGAAATTCATTCCACATGTATTTATGCTAATTTAAATACTGTTACTGAGGAATGTGCATGTAAGTGGAAATCCATGCTGTGAAAATTACTGATCCATAACCAGAAACATCACTGCCCCTGTAATCCTTGTAGTTAAAAGTCTTGCATGCTAAGTGTTATCTTTTCCTCTAAATTTGACGTTTGGACTGTTGCCTTGTAAAAATCTTAACTGACTTACACAACCGTGTAATATGACATCTGATGAAGGGATATGTAGCCTGTTTTCCCCCCATTGGTGAATTGATACAGTGTGTCCATTCACAGCTGGAGTCCTCGAAATGACCCACTGAGGTCACGCTACACAATCACATTTTTGCTTTGAATGAAGTAGCATTGTTCTATCCATGGACAAGTATAATGTAGTAATTGTATCACTAACAATGAGGTATTGATGATGTTTAGCCACTGTCCCATGAGGTGTGCTAGAGGACCATAGCACAGACCTTGTTCTATCATGCTGTGAGTGGCAGGAATATACAACATCATAATAAAATGTTACCAGTGGTGTTTACTGATTCACTCTAAATACTAACAAGTTTGGAGGATGTAGGCTTTTCACCTCGAGAAGTTATTCTGGAATTGCACAATACCTGTGTGGTAATTCTCAGGCATTCAGCTTCCAGCATGTTCAATTTTGACGCCTTAATATTGAGGAAATGGTATGGTAACGTATTTGTGTGATTACCTTTCTGAATCTAAGCTAGCAATGTTTGATTTTCAGAATGATGACTTCTTTTTAGCTCCGCTGTCGACTTTGTCGAGCGGAGCTTATCATATGAGTGATTGTCCGTTGTCGTCCGTGTCAATGTTTTACTTTTTCGACTTCTTCTTGAAAACTACAAGCCTGAATGCTTTGATACTTGGTGTATATGTACCTTGGGTAGACCTCTCTTAGGTTTGTTCATTTCATGTTGATATCTTCAATTCTCTAATTTTGGTGAATATTTTTGTCATTTTTGGTAAAAAGTGATATTTTCGACTTCTTGTTAAAAAGCGCAAGTGCAATTGCTTTGATATTACATATATAGATACTACATGTGAACCTCTCTCAGATTTGTTCATTTTGTAATGATATCTTTAATTCTCTAATTTTGGTGAATATTTTTGTCATTTTTGGTAAAAAGTGATATTTTCAACTTCTTGTTGAAAACCGCAAGTCCGATTGCTTTTATATTACATATATAAGTACTACATGTGGACCTCTTTCAGCTTTGTTAATTCCGTGATATCTTTAATTATCTAATTTTATTTTGATGATTATTTTTGTCATTTTTGGAGAAAAGTGATATTTTTGAATTCTTGTTGAAAACTGTAAGTCCGATTGCTTTAATACTATACATATCGTTCATTTTCTAATGATACTTTCTGTTCTTTAATTGTAATGTGCATTGCTAACAGCAGAGTTATCTCAGCCGAGAGGCTGCTTGTTTGTACTACTGACTTTATTTAGGTTACATCTATTCTTGTATTTATATTTATGTTCATAGTAGTTTAAGGTAGCGGGACTATTATTTGCATACTTGTTTTCATCTTCTAATTGTGACTAAATGACTATAAATAGACCCAGGAAAGTATATATTTTTAGAATCGCCAGACTTCAAGCTTTTCACAAGTGTATTTTGCATGCCCGTATCTGCATTCTACGACACGTTACTCAACCAAAGGTGAAAAATTACTTTTTCTGTAAAAAAAAATAATTACGCATTTATGCTGGCGATAAGAAGTATTTTTTTTTACTTTTCCTAGTTGTTCAATAGTCTGGTAAATTGAATGTGTCTGGTCAGTTTTTTTCAAGCAACGCGTTTAAAAAAATAGTGTGCTGAATTTCAGTTACTGTTTTAGTTGCATTGCCCCCAACTCAAACCACAACTCGTTGGTAAATAATCGATGAAATAGTTTGTCTGGACACAGTTCCTCTCACTGTCACCTTAAAGCTGTGAAAATTTGGTGTTAATCCTACGATAATAAGTATACGTTATTTTTTGTTAAAGACCTTGTATTTTGAAAAAACATAAACTCCTAGAAAACGTCCATGAAGTAACAGCAAAGATTTTCAAACTTGTTTATCACCACAATCAATTTGTTTTCCCATCAAGGTCTGTTTTAACATGAGTAGGGACATCCAAATGTGTAAGGCTATTGGAAACCAAAAAAATAAAGGAATGGAATAGCTATAATTGGATAAATTCGGCATATGAAAACACCAAAATCAATGATTTTT